GCTGGTGCATGGGGTCAGTGAGGGTCGTGCAGCCCATAAAGTGAGAGAGCAGAAGGGCTGTGTCCTTCCTCAAGGACAACTTGATGCATTATCCTGCCCAGAGCAGAGCATTGTCCTGCCCCACCCCTGGAAGTGTCCAGGGCACTTGGGACAACCTGGGGTAGAGGAAAGTGTGCCTGCCCATGGCAGGGGGTGGCACTGGATGAACTTTAAGATTCCTCCCAACCCAAAGCATTTCGTGACTGTGAATTCCTGCAGGGATTGCAGCACTGGGCTGTGCCTGCTGTCCCTGGGGTTTGATGAATCAGGTGTCTGATGCAAGGAGGAACAGCCAGAGAGGGACTGCAGCCCAGGAAAGACAGAGGGAGAGCCAAACCTGGCTGCATTCCTTGCCTGTTCCTGACTCCTTACGGAGGGTGAGTCCTGCTGTTCAGTGAGATTCTCAAGAGCAGGAGTTGGTTCCTTGCACTTCAGTAAAGTTCCTGCTCTGGATAACTTGGGAAGGAACTGACACTTGAAAAAGAAATACAGAAATCTGAATATTTAGCAACCCAAAAATCACTCTTCAAATGTTTTAGTACACAAAGAAGAGTTTTTTTGCAGAGATTTACCTGTGCCATTCATGAAACTTAATATGGAATTACCCTTGAGTGGCTGAGGTTGCTGTGATGGAGAGGATGGACAGCAGTGGGAAGGATGGTGTTTGTTGGATGAGCCTGAGCCTTCTCTTCAAGGGGATCAGGAGTACCAGACCAGGAGCCAAAGTGTCCACTGCCCTAAGGCTGGACTGACCCTGGACCAGGGAGAGCTCCCAGGTTGGGCCTGGTGCAGGGGGAGGATTTCTGTGCTGGAATAGACTAATTAGGCACCACAGGGAAGCATTTCCATCCGCTTAGGAAGCGCTGTCCTGACCTTGCTCCTACGCCCACTCCCTCTCTGTCACAGGGCTGAAAGAGCCTGCCTCAGCTCTTTTAAAACTGGAAAAGGAGCCCCAGCACCATCCTTTATGCAAGAGCTGAAAGGTTAATACATGTCACATCTGTCAGCCAGGACTCTGCAATAGGCAAAGCCCTTTTTACTGAGGGGAAAAAAAAAACCACCAGCCTGTCACAGCCTGACCTTTCCACCCTCACACTCCAGCCCCACTTTCACACCACAGGGCTGAGAATAAACACATCCTTTTCCAAGCAGGGCTGGATCCTCTCAGCTGCAGCAAAATGTGATTCCTTGCAAATGGTGCAGGTGGCTCTTAGGTAGGGGTTTTCCTGTGGATTGCAGGGATAAGCAAGCATCAAGCTCCTGGAATTAGAAAGGTCAGCAGGGATGCTTCCTGTTGGAGCTGCACAAACCCTGGTGCTCGGATCAGAGGGCAGGGAGTTAAAATTAGAAGTGGCCATGAGGTTACTGAGGTCGCTCCTTGAGCCTGACAAGGTCAAGGGGTCTGTGGCTTAGGGGCATGAGAAAATAAACATCTCCAGGCTTCTTATTTTCTAGAGGATAGCAGAAAATACCTCTTCTGCCTTTAGCATGAGGTTTGGAATATCAGGAATTCCTCCCTAAATAATCCCTCTCTTTCCCTGGCATGTAGAGGATGTGTACACACCTAGCTGACCACACCAAAAAAAGTAAGGACTGGAATAATTAGGGAGTCCCCAGCTGAGTCACCTCCTAGAAAGGCTGTGTTGGATGGACACAGGAGATGTCTTGGCATTTGGCATTTTCCTGGGATATAAAAGACTGGGTCAATCACCATTCAGAAGTGCAGAATGAGCCTCTCTCTCTGCTGAGTTTATCCCGCAACTCTGGGAAAATTTTTCGCCAAAAGCAAGGCAGCTCCAGCAGAAGAGATGTCGGGAGATCCTGCAGCCCCCAGGAAGCCTGTGTTTGTTTCAAGCCTTCATCAGACACCCTTTCCCAACTGTGTGGCTCAAGGTATCCCACCTGGAGCAGGGCAAACTGGAGTGTGGCCAAGGATGTAATGCCTGGTCAGAGTTTAAACCAGCTTTTGTGTATCCTTTATCCCACGTCCTAATCACTCCTCCTGCATCCATGAGGAAGTGCCTCTCTGGAGGAGCAGTGGGACTGATGGATTTGCCCCCAGGAAAGGAGTGTCACACTTTTGGAGGAAAACACTGCACCTCCCAAATGCCTGGAGCTTGATGTGTGCATCACACATTTGATTTGAGTGTTCCCATCCCAGCCAGGAGGAGCGCTGATTCCTGCACTTTGCCAAAGAGCAACCAAGCCCTGCAGTGCAAGTTCTCCACCTTCCAATTAAAAAAAGAGGGAGCTTGAAGGGCACATCCACAGCCAGCTTGGAAATTCTCCCTGCCCTCCAGAGCAAAACCTAATGGAGGAGCCTGAGGTCCAGAGATAACCACAAACCACCCTTTCCTGTCAGGCAGCTGGGATTTCAAGTGGTTGGAGATAAATATGGCACTGTGTCAACAAGGAGCCACCAGGAAAGGGGGATTATTGCTCTCCATTAGTGAGAGGAGTGTGCTCACACACGTCTGCAAAGACCTCAGCCTTGGAAAGCACATTTCCTTCATTTCCATCGTTTGTGTTGAGCTTTTCACCACGCTCCTCCTCATCTTTCACTGGATATTTCCCATTTCAAAAGCAAGCAGGCAAACAGAACCGAGGCACATCAAGAAGCAATTTGTCTGGCTGGTAAAGAAACAAAAACAACCACCCCGAAGCCAGGCAGAGGAGCACAGGAAAGCACGAAGTACAGCTGTGCAAGTCTCGCATCGCCTCTGCTCCCTCCTCCTCCTCAGCCCTGCTGAAAGACAGCAGCTGTAATCCGTTCCAGGTGGTGACAGGAGTGATCTTCCCAGCCCCTACGAACGTGACAACCCTGAACCTGGCTGGGAACACGTTCCCGTGCTGTCAGAGGGAGAGGGGAAGCTGCAAGACCCAACAGGCGCCTGAGTCACAGCAGCCAAGGGGAAATGCAAACGTTGGAAGCCGTGCAAGCGTGAGGGATGTGACTGTGAGGGATCCTTTTCAGCCGGTTGCTTCCTTCACAGATGCTCTGGGTGATCCTGGGTGAGACTAGTGGAGGAAGGAGACACCTCCTTCAGCAACATCTGTCTCTGGATCCCCACTGGCTGCTCCCCAGCCCCTCTTGAGTGGGGATTTTGGTGAGCAGAGCTCACTCTGCCCTGACTATGACAGGCACATGTGTGAGTCACTGCCCACACACGCTGACAAACACAGATATGAGTGGGACAGGTCTCCTGGGAAGGAACTTTGGTGATTTCAGTTTTCATGGTTTGACAACTGCATTTTTGTGTTTCTTTTAGTTTCTTTCTCCTTACCCGTGCTGCAGGTGAGGAACTGACTGATTCAACACGAGTAGGGCGTGGCGTTGACTGTGTAAGCAGCTTTAAAGTGATCAAAGTCAGCAGCTGCAGGAGAAATCCTGGGAAATGTTTGCCCTTTCCCTAACCTGTTGAGTTCCAGCAGTGCCTTTTAGCAACTGCACAGAAAGGCAATCACAGAATCCCAGAATGGTTTGGGTTGGAAGGGACATTAAAGATCATCCAGTGCCACCCCCTGCCATGGGCAAGGGCACCTTCCACTATCCCAGGGTGCTCCAAGCCCCATCCAGCCTGGCCTTGGACACTTCCAGGGATCCAGGGGCAGCCACAGCTTCCCTGGGCAACCTGTGCCAAGGCCTCACACCCTCACAGGAATAACTTTTCCTAATATTCAACCTAAACTCTTTCAGTTTGAAGCCATTCCCCTTGTGATCTTGGAGCCAAAAAAACTCCACTTTTAAAACTTCCATGGGATAACTGGCTTGAGCTGTTGCCTGAAAGTCATCAAAGTAAGATGCTGTAGAGTAGCTACAGTGATCTCAGCTCTTCCCATATGAGACATTTTGGAAGGGGCTGCCCTGGGAAATGGTGGGGTCCCCACTCCTGGAGGTGTCCAAGGAATGACTGGACGTGGCACTCAGTGCTCTGGGCTGGGTGACAAGGTGGGGATCAGTCACAGCTTGGACTTGATTGTCTTGGAGGTCTTTTACAACCTAATAACTGTGTGATTCGGTGATTTTCATCTGAGGAAGTTGTCTAGGCTCCCTGTGCACTCTGCAGGTAGAAATGTACCTGCTGGCAGTATAGCCCCCTCCTCCTAAGGGAGCAGCCTGCAGCAGATGAATCACAGTGTTTGCCCCTCTCTCCCTGCTGGTTATGGTGGGAGTCTGGAGCGTGGCTCAGGGGGAGACATTTCACCAGGAATGTTTGGAGTTCACTCAACATGTACCACATCCAGTCATGTCAATCTCATGTCTCATCCATACCTCATGTCAAGATTAGAGCTGTGACTACCAGGCTCAGTTCTTTTTAGAATCCTGCATGAATTGATGTGTCACAAAGCTGATTATGAAACCAAAAGGGTTTCATAACATCTACATGATGTAGAACCTGGGACCATGGTTTAGTGGTGAGTTTGGCAGTGCTGGATTAACTAAATTGGGTTTGATGGTCTTTATGTGTAAAAATTGAAAGAGGGGAGATTTATATTGGGTATTAGGAAAAAATCCTTCCCTGTGAGGGTGGTGAGGCCCTGGCACAGGTAGCTCAGGGAGGCTGTGGCTGTCCCATCCCTGGAAGTGTCCAAGGTTGGAGAGGGCTCAGAACAACCTGGGGTAGTGGCAGGTGTTCCTGTCCATGGCAGGGGGTTGGAACCAGATGATATTTGGGGTCCTTCCAATCCAAACCATTCTGTGATTCCATGAAGTTCACAGATGGGGCTGTCCTTCTTTTGGGGATGGTTATTTTAACTTCTCCATCTTGAGGATGGTGCTGTTCCCTGGATGATCTCTCTGGAGGCACTGTCCACCTCTGTGGGAACAGCTCAGCTGAGATCCAGCTCTCCACTGACCTCTCCCAAACTCCCTTTATTCCTCAGACACCCAAAATTGTTTCTCTCTGAACAACTGTTTGTCTTGGGAGCTGAACCCAGATCGTTATTTGAGTGAAATGAATCTTATCTCTGGTTGTAAGTTTAAGAAATGGATTCTAGAAATGAAAACCACAGGAATTATTTAGTTTGGAATACTGATTATTTAAATGTCTGCATACATCTTCACAAACCCAGCACAACACTACACACATACTTTTTCTCCATACGATTTAAGGCATTTTGTTTTCAACCTCTCTGTTTTATTCCCCCTGCAAATTTTTGATAAAATGAACTGTGTCCCTAAGAGCTTTACTTGAGTATGCAGCTGAGGTATGGTCAAACTTCTCCTGGCATTAGTTGGGCATTTATTCAGAAATGTTTATATTTCCCCAGAGGAAGGAAAAAAAAAAAAGAAAAAAGTTACAATCTGGTAAAAAACAGTTGCTAAATGAAGTTTGCAGTTCTAGTGTGGTTTGTAAAGTCCAAGCTCTCCAATAACTGCTTCAGCCTTTTCCAGCTGTTTGCTGCAGCACAAATGCCCAAAGCTTTTCCATGTTAAAGGGAAAATTAGTTTAAATTTTGTCTGCAAGGATGGGGCACTGAGCCATTGCAAATCCCATTAGCTCCAGAACAGAGCCTCGTGCAAAATTGTCTGAGGGATCCCAGATGGTTGTAAAGTGCTTCAATACCATCATTGGCATAGTAAAGGACATCACAAGGGATTGCATCTATCCCTAATTTGGTCAATATTGCATTCAACCACTTCTCAGAGACCTGACAGAGTGAATTAACTCATCTTTTTTATCTACCACTACAGTGATGAGCATAATACAGAGAGATGGGGTCTGGAAGAGGATCTACTGGAAAGACCTTACTCCATGTTGAGGCTTCCATTGAAATGAGGAATGAGCTCAACATCTACTAAAGGGAAAAAAAAAGAAAAAAAAAAAAAAGAAAAAGGGGAAAATCTTTAGTATCTCAGACCCTTTTTTCTGGGTACAGAGGAGGTGGGGTAGGTGAGGGAAAGATGAATATACAGGGTATAGGGAAGGTAGGGTAAGGAGGAAGATGAATGTACATCTCTGTGGGCTCTGACCAGACTTTGGCAATGAATCCAAATTTTGTCATGTTTCTGTGGATTGGCAATCTCTCCAGGAAATTATAGTGTGCAACAGGTGAAAGGCATCCCAAAGTCACACAGAGACGATGCCCAGCAGAGCCACAGATCACTCCAGCAGCAAACAGCGTGGCTTAAAGGGTGGGAACTAGAAGGTATCCCAAACAAAACAGCCTTCTCTTTCCCTAAATCACTTACCTATTGAGACCACAGGATATTAATGAGCTACTAGCCCTCTAGAAATGAGGGCAGGTAATCGCAACATTACTCACAGGATTCAAGATTGAGTTTACCACATTTAACTCAGAAGAAAAGCTGATTACGAGGGCTCAGCTCACCAGAGATAATGAAATATGCAATGAAAATGTACTTTTAAAAAAGAAAGAAAGGAAGAGAGAAAAAGTCAGGTTTTAGTCAGCAGTTCTAGAAGTCCAGGTCATCCTGGTCAATCTCATCAGAGTTTTCTTTCTTTTTAGAAGACTGAACTTCCTCAGTGTTTTCAGCCTCCTTTGGCTCTGCACCTTCAGTATCTGGCTGCTCCTCATCTCCCACAGGATCAGAACCCGAAGATTCTTTGTCCTCTTCCTCTTCCTCACTGTCAGGATACATCTGGGAGGGCTTGGAGCTCTCATCACTTCGAACCTCTCCATTGGGGTGGTCGCTAGTGGGGCTATCATCACCTTTGCATTCCTCTTCAGCTACTGCTTCCTCTTCAACTATTCCTTCCTCTTCGACTACTTCTTCTTCATCTACTCTTTCCTCTTCATCATCAGACCCCTTCTGGGATTGCTGTGAGAAGTTTCCAACAGAAGAATAACAAGAAAAGGCTGTGGATTTTTTCAGAGTTTCTAACCTTTTGCTGGTTTTCTTGCCTTTGGTCTTTGAAGCTTTCTCAGAAAATTTGCTGTTGCATTGGGCTTCGTGTTTTTCATGTGCCTTGTCAGGGTCATCACCAGTGGGTTCCTCACCATTCTCATCAGGTTTCTCATCTTCTTCACTGTTTTTCTCCTCAGCCTCATCTCCTGACTCTGGTTTTGCATCTTCTTCTGCCTCAGCTTCATCTTGCTCAGCTTCTTCATTTCCTTCCACAGCATCTCCTTCAGGATTGTTGTCAGCTCCAGAGCCCTCAGCATCTCCTCTGCATTCTGATGTCTCTGCCTCATCATCAGCCACAACTTCCTCATCCTCTGGCTCCTCTGCTTCTTCAGCTTCATTTTCACATTCGGACTTTTCTTCAGCTTCTTGCTCTTCATTTTGAGCTTCTTCCTCTTGTTCTTCCTCTTCCCCTTTTTCCTCCTCCTCCTCCTCCTCCTTTATTTCTTCCTCCTCTTTTTCTCCCTGTTCTTCTTCTTTTGCTTCTTCCTCCTCCTCTTTTGGGTTTTCTTTCTCTTCCACTCCCTGCTCCTCTTTTGTTTGACCCTCATCTTCCTTTGCTTCCTCATCATCCTCTGCTCCTTCTTCTTCTTCCTTCCCTTCCTCCTCTTTTGTTTCTTCTTCCTCTTTTTGCTCTTCCTCCTCCTCTTCTGCTTCCTCCTCTTTTACATCTTCCTCTTCTTTTGCTTCTTCCTCCTTCCCTTCATCATCCTCCTCCTCTTCTTTTTCTTCTTCCTCTCCCTCCTGTACTTCTTCCTCCTCTTTTGCATCTTCTTCTTCCTCCTTTCCTTCCTCCTCCTCTTCTTTTGTTTCATCTTCTCCCTCCTTTACTTTTTCCTCCTCCTCTTTGTCTTCTTCCTCTTCCTCCTCCTCTTTGTCTTCTTCCTCTTCCTCTTTTCCTTCCTCCTCCTCTTTTGCTTCCTCCTCCTCTTTTGCTTCCTCCTCTTCCTCCTTCCCTTCTTCTTCCTCCTCCTCTATTGCTTCTTCTTCCTCCACTTTTTCTTCCTCCTCTTCCTCTTTTGCTTCTTCCTCCTCCTCTTTGGCTTCTTCCTCTTCCTCTTTTCCTTCCTCTCCCTCTTTGGCTTCTTCCTCCTCCTCTTTGGCTTCTTCCTCTTTTCCTTCCTCCTCCTCTTTTGCTTCTTCTTCCTCTTTGGCTTCTTCCTCTTCCTCTTTTCCTTCCTCCTCCTCTTTTGCTTCTTCCTCCTCCTCTTTGGCTTCTTCCTCTTCCTCTTTTCCTTCCTCCTCCTCTTTTGCTTCTTCCTCCTCCTTCCCTTCTTCTTCCTCCTCCTCTTTCACTTCTTCCTCTTCCTCCTTCTCTTGTGCTTCCTCTTCCTCTTTTCCTTCCTCCTCCTCTTTTGCTTCCTCCTCTTCCTCCTTCCCTTCTTCTTCCTCCTCCTCTTTTGCTTCTTCTTCCTCCTTCCCTTCTTCTTCCTCCTCCTCTTTTGCTTCTTCTTCCTCCACTTTTTCTTCCTCCTCTTCCTCTTTTGCTTCTTCCTCCTCCTCTTTGGCTTCTTCCTCTTCCTCTTTTCCTTCCTCCTCCTCTTTTGCTTCTTCCTCCTCCTTCCCTTCTTCTTCCTCCTCCTCTTTCACTTCTTCCTCTTCCTCCTTCTCTTGTGCTTCCTCCTCCTCTTTTGCTTCTTCTTCCTCCACTTTTTCTTCCTCCTCTTCCTCTTTTGCTTCTTCCTCCTCCTCTTTTGCTTCTTCCTCTTCCTCTCCCTCTTTGGCTTCTTCCTCCTCTTCTTTAGCTTCTTCCTCCTCTTCCTCATTTGCTTCTTCCTCCTCCACTTTTCCTTCCTCCTCTTCCTCTTTTGCTTCTTCCTCCTCCTCTTTGGCTTCTTCATCTTCTTCCTTCCCTTCCTCCTCCTCTTTGGCTTCTTCATCCTCCTCTTTGGCTTCTTCCTCCTTTTCTTCCTCCTCCTCCTCCTCCTCTTTTGCTTCTTCCTCTTCCTCCTTCTCTTCTTTTTCCTCCTCTTCTTTTACTTCCTCCTCCTCCTCTTTTGCTTCTTCCTCTTCCTCCTTCTCTTCTTTTTCTTCCTCCTCTTTTGCTTCCTCCTCTTTTGCTTCTTCTTCCTCCTCCTCTTTTACTTCCTTCTCCTCCTCCTCTTTGGCTTCCTCCTCCTCCTCCCCCTCTTTTGCTTCCTCCTCCTCCTCTTTGGCCTCTTCCTCCTTCTCCTCATTTGCTTCTTCCTCTTCCTCTTTTGCTTCCTCCTCCTCCTCTTTTGCTTCCTCCTCTCCTTCCTTCCCTTCCTCTTCTTCTTTCCCTTCTTCTTCTTCTTCCTTTGCTTCTTCCTCTTCCTCCTTTCCTTCTTCCTCCTTTGTTTCTTCTTCCTCCTTCACTCCCTCTTCTTCTTCCTTCTCTTCCTCATGTAGTTCCTCTTCCTCCTTAGTTTCTTCTGCTTCTTCCTCTTTTACTTCCTCATCTTCATTAGTTTCACCATCCTTCTCTTTTATTTCCTCCTCTTCAGCCTTGGCCATTTCTTCTTCCTCTTTCTCTTCTTCTCCTTCTTGTGTTTCTTCCCCTCCTTCTTCTGCTTCTTCTTTGGTTTCTTCAATTCTGGCCTCCTCCTCCACCTCAGCATTTTGACTATCTGCTACTTCAGGTTCTTCTCCATCTCCATTCAACGTTGCACCATCATCTTCATTTAATTCTGGCTCTTTTCCTTCATCATCCTCTGCTTCTCTTTCACCTGTCTGAGGTAGCTCCTCATCCTTCTCCTTGTTTTCTGCCCCTTCCTCCGCAGAACCATTGGGAAGTGTTTTGGTGTCCTGGGCTGCTTCTGCGACGATGGCTTCCTCATTGTCATCTTTCTTCAGCCTCAGGATTTTCTGCAAATCAAAGGCTTTCATGACTGGGGCATTGGTGGCCACCACAGGGGCTCTGGCAGGCCTGGAAGCCAGTTTTTTCCTCACACAGGAGTCACATGGGCAATATTCCTCCTCACTGGATTGTTTGTTAATGCTGTCCTCCAAGGCTGCACTGAGGTTAAAGTCATTGTCTACATCTAATGATAAGTCTGACGCCTCCTCCAGCCTCATTTGGGCACCATTCTTGTCTGCAAAGAGGGACTTTTTATGCATAGTTTGAAGTCGCCATCTCCTCTGCTCAGTTTGGAGTTTGGACTCGCGTGTGGGTGGCTCTTCTGGAGGCCTTGGCATCCTCCTTCCAGCCCTGCTTTTGATCTTCCTCAACTCTTTCTCTATGCTCTTTTGTATCCTTTTACTCACTTCCTCCTTCAGCTCCAGTATCATTGCATCCATCTGCTGGTTGTCCTGCAGGTTCCACCTGACTTTAAACTCGTTCATGGCATTGACATAGTGAGCCATGAACTCCTTCTCGATTTTCTTGAGTAGTCTCAGGACCCAGGTTGGGTCTGGATCCACGGAGTTTTGCTGGACAACGGATGTGTCCACAATGGTGGGTGTATTGACTTTGGGCTCAGGGTCATTTGGAGACTCTTCTTGGGGCTGCTCTTGCAATTCATCTTTCAGCTCTGTCCTGACATCAGCATCACCGACATCGGCATCACCAGTGGTCTCTGGCTGATCAGCTTCCTCTTCAGGCTTTTCCTGTGGGACTTCATCATTCACAGCTTCAGCTTTTTCCTGTTCTCCAGTTTTGCCTCTGAGCAGGCTGTGGAAGGGCGGGATGGCTGCTCTTCCTCTTTACTTTGCTCCTCAACCTCAGTCAGTTCTGTGCCAGTCTCTGCATTTTCCATTTGCTCGGCTGATTTGCATTCCATGGTTTTCTGGGCCACCAACGTGGCACCAGCTGTGCACTCTTCTCCTGAGCCACCAGAGCCACTGCAAACATCGACCCCAGAGGAGGACATGGCAGTGAAGGCGTGATCCATGGATTTTGGGACCTTAGACCCAGACACTGGCTTTGCTGGCTTGCTTGCCTCTTGGCCTGAACTTGGGCCGCTCCTTTCAGCAGTGCACCCAAACCAGAGGGCTTGAAAAATATTTAGCAGCTCTGTGTACCTTGACTTATTCAAATGTTTTGAGTTTTCTGATGGATCCTCTGACTCTTCATCAAGGAGCTGAAGGCTGGCAAGACAAGAAATCAAAATGTTAGCAGAATTACTCAGTTTTCTCCCCATTGTGGGGGACACTTCGGGCAAGCTGTTTGATCGGTCAAATTTGGTCTCATGCTTTGAACTGAGCAAGGCCTTCATGATCTGGACAGACGTCTGGACAGAGGTTGGCAGGTCTCTCTTGTTGTTATTTTGGCTGGATGTAACTGACTTGTTGCATTCTGCCTGCTCAACTTCGGCAGCTTCAGGTGCAACCTCAGAGATTTCTTCCTGGTTCACGCATTCTTCAACCTCTTCAATAATAGCTGTGTCTTCTGCTTTCTCTTCTTCTACTTCATCCTTTGCTTCATCCTTTTCAGCCTCCTCCTCCTCCTCCTCATTCTTTTCCTCAGCTTTTTCCTCCTCTGGGGCTTCCTCAGCATTTGTACAGTGTGATACCTCAGTGGTCGACTCTGCACATTCCTCCTCTCCGTCATCCTCCATTTCATATTTCATAAGCAACGTTTCCGAAGGGATTTTTCTGAGCCATTCTTGCACAACTTCTTCTGGAGATGTATTTGGTAGAGCTGATGGCATTAAATCACCTCCTTCCTCCTGAACACTCGTGTCTTCTACCTCTTCCTCTGTTTTTTTGCTGCAAAAATCATCAGTCACTTTATTATTCTGACCATCTTCTTTGGCTGCAGTGGATTTAGAACCATAGGAAGTTGCTTTGGAGGAATCCACAATTTCTTTCTGCTCTCTTCCTGCGGTCAGCACAGACTCGGTGCCGATGCTGCTGATGGAGGAATTCTTCAACATGGTTGAACGCATATTTTTTCTCTTTGGCTTCCCTTTTGGTGGGGCAGGGCAGTGCAGACTGCACACTGACATAGTCTCCGACACTGATGCCCGGCTGGAGTTTGACACCTTCACACGAAGATTTTTTGGGTTTGTCTGCCTTGATTTTGAAGATAGAGACATGTTTGACTGTGAACACCTATCATCAGTTTCCTGGGATATCTGTGTCAACACACATTTATCTTTTATTTCTGACTTCGAAGAGACTCTTGAGGAGCTACTTGTAGGTTTTCCATTCCTAATGCCATCCTCAGCTGAGTGGTCAACTTTTGAACATACACTCCCACTCATGCTTCCCTGTTTTGAAGAAGAGGGTTCTGAACTAATCTTGGCATGACTCTCTCCAGCTTTTCCATTAGGACTTGAAAAACTTGAGTAGAGGGATGATGGCTTGCTGCTTTCTGCTTTATGGCTTCTCTTCTTTGAGTTTTTTGAGGATTCACTGCAGCCACTGGCAGTACTTTTTGAGCTTTTCTCCTCAGCAGGACCTGCATTTGCCTCTGCTTCACTGGTAGATGAAATGTTTGAGTGAAGAGATCCTGACTTACGAGATATGGTGTCTCCAACAGATTTTTTCTTGGTTTCACATGAGCTTTTGGAGTAAATTGATGCCCTGCTGCCTGATCTTGCATCATCTGCATGTAGCGAACTCTTCTTTTTATTTGGAGTGGATTCAAGTGAAGAGACGGATATTTCAGACTGTGCATCCAAATGAATGTGGCTGCGTTTGCTCTTTCTGGACCCTCTGGAAGAGCAAGAGACACTGCATGGAATGTTCTCATCACTGCCACTTTTCTTGCTGTTCATGTCACTAGCCTTGGAACGGTGGGTTCCTTGCGTAGAGCATTGTTCCCCTTCACTGCTCTCACCCCTGATTGACTGACTTGGCTTTGTTTTTGCTGACACTGAGCTGACTTCATTGACTTCACTTTCTTCCTGCTCTGCTTCCACCTCTTCAGTCTCTTTCTTGGGGCAGGACTCACTGGAGAAAGAGGACACCACTGGGTTGTCATCAGAGGGGTCGCTCTGCTCAGTCTTTTCTTTTGGTGTGGTGCAGTTACTGGACTTGCTGTGCACGCTGTTGGCAGGGGTGGAGCACTGGCTGTTGTCTCCCTGATTTGCCTTCTGAAGGCTTGAGGAGGACATGCTCCTGCCCACGCTGCTCGTTTCCTCACACACGTTCTTCTTGCTCTGCTTGGACTGCAGAGATGACCTGGACATGACACTCCCAACTCTGCTGCTTTCAACCTCTTCCTCCTCATCCTTCAAGCACTTCACAGAGGAAGCTTCAAAACAATTTGCATCCTCATTCTGTGAAATTATTTTGGTGATCTCCTGGTCTTCAGGGGTGTCTTGAGTATCCAGGTTGTTTTCACAGCTTGAATGTGACATCAAGCCCAAGGATGAAGGCCTCTGGCTGTTTCCCGTGCTTGTCTGAGTGTATTCCTGCTGTTCTTCTCCATTGGAAGCACCAGTAGACAAATCACTTCGGCACATACACTTTTTAACAGATCGATACGCCACTCTGTTCTTTATAGTCTCTGAGTAGGATGAGGACTCTCTCACAATGTGCTCAGAGAATTCCTCACTGGATGTGGTGTGGATGCTATCTACAGATGTCATTTTTTTGTGGACTACTCTCCTCCGGGAAGATGTGCTGGAGCATGACGACCGTGTGTGCCAGGTGCTTCGCACGCTGGGCTCTTCCCTCTGGGACATGTGCATGGGGTTCTTCCAAATGTCATAGTCCTGGTGTTTCTTTCCACAGCTGTGACAGTGGGCCTCGTCACATTCTGATTCCTCAAGTTTGGACATGTAGGAATCGATATCACAGGGATATAAGGAATCATCTGCTTCTGAGCTGGCTTCCGGGTTCATTTTCTGTAGGGGATCTAGTCCACTGTCCTCCTCCACTCCTGACTCTTCACAAGGCAGCCGGTTCATCAGGTTGGACTTTTTGATCTGAGTGGACCACTGCAAAGTCTCATCATTGAGCAAACGGAAGCGAACCTTCATCTCCACGGACAAGCTCCCATCCTTGTTCACATGGACCCGCTTCTCGATGTCATCATTGACCAAGGACTGGACCAGGTCCCCAGCTTTTGGGTGAGAGCAGCCATTGGAGAAGGGTGCCCCGTTGTCTGGAGAGGCCACAAGGCCATTGGGGTATGACTTTTCTGATGACAAGGAAAATCTCATCGATCTGTTGCTGGATGCTGACCGTGGATGGATAACGCTTTTTTTGGCTTTCAGTCCGAAGTTCACTGGAATGAAGAAAAGAAAGACGGAGAAAGATGTTAACTCATATAAAGATGACAAAATATATGTGAGTCAGACCCTCAAACTATTGAATCCTGATGTTATTCCATTAAAGCCAAGCCTATGCCAATTTACAAAATTTGAAAATTTGTCATTGACTTCATGATGTCCATTAATCATAGAACAGTTAAGGTTGGAAGGGACAATCTAGTCCAAATTCCTTGTTAAATATTAAGTTTTGAATTAATAATCTATAATAAAATCTTCTATGCCTTAACTTTATTTTAAAAAACAAATTGAACCACAAACACTTTGTTTTATTAAGTGCATGTCAGGAAGTAAAATTAAGAAAAATTATATATACATATACATACACATATACAGCAATTTAGTCTCTGAGTTTGAGCATTTTATCACATTGCAAATATTCCTTTATTTAACTGTGGAGGTTTTCATTCCTCTTAATTAACAAGGGAAAAATACATAGAGAAGTGACCCTCTTCCTTAGCTGACCACTCATTTATTATGCATCATCCACTTCTCCACTCATATTCCAGGAAATGTGTGGCCATGTTAACCAGAGTAACACCCAGTCCCTGCAGGGATGCGCCACTAAGAATAATTATATTCTTATTAAAACTTAAAGGACAAACAGAAAATTAATTGTAAGCTGGTGAGAATTACAAAGAGAAATAGTGGGAGTTGTAGAAGAAATCAAGGAGAATAAGGGAATTGCAGTTGGAAGAACATTTTTATTGCCTGTGCAGTGATCTGCATAGGTTTGTTTAGGTCCCTTCATTTCAAGCAGAATACATTGCTATCAGGTTGTCTTGCAAGACATTCATCTGTCTTGTTTCGAGTAGAAGTTTGTCCAAAATTTCCTCGTACATATATCTGGATAATCCTGTGCCTCCATGGGCATATGGATATGCAGCTGGTTGGAGGGAATTTTAGGAAGGAAGTGGAACAGGAGCACATAGAAATCAGATGAAATAGCTCTTCCCTGACCATCCTAATCACTGAACTGATGGATTTGCTCAGTCTTTTGATGGGCAAAGCTCCAGTTTATTCCCATGTTTCTCTCCAATATTTTATGTCTAAACAGTGAGCATAGGATGCCTCTGTCCTTGAGTTTCTACAACTTGTTGGCAACACACAAATGAATCTTTCCAAGCTCCTGGTATTGACAATGAAGAGAAACAGACGCACCTCCAGGGCACATTTAATTTTATCCTACAATAAATCCTTAATAGAGGTGAGATAAAATGCTTTTTGGAATTGGGATGTTTCTTTTCCCAAGCTACTGAAGGTGGTTGGTTTAATTACCTGTGACCTTAAATAACTCATGATGGAGTGCCAAAGAAATATAATCCTGAATAATCCATAACATACTCTTTCCTGAACATAAACTTTCCATTAAAACACACTTTGTTCCCAAAAGGCCAGCTGTAACTTGCAGGAGAAACTGAGTCAGAACCAGGGCACCCTCTGGTCCTGGTGCAGGAAAATGCAGGAGTGAAGGCATGATAGGACAGACAACGAGGGGATAGAGGATTCGTGGGAAATCTCAAGGGTCTGAGAGGACAGACACAGGAAAGGAGGGATTTCTGGAAGGAAAAGGAGACCTAGAGATATGAAAGAGGAAGGGAAGTCAGCCAGACATGGGGAGCATGTAAAAGAAAGACTAGGGGGTGTAGGGAGGAAATCCTAGAAGGAAACCAGAGAAAAAGAAGGGGAGGATGGAAAGGCCTGGGAGGCAGGGAGAGGGAAGTGCATTTTCCACATGAAATCTGTACTTTGGGGCAGCACAATAGGGGCCCGTAATCCCCATGCTGTGGGACACAGGCCTGGGTATGGCTGCGCGACACGGCCCCGAGGTTTTCTTACTGTCATTGTTCTCGTTGACATTGTTGCCATTGTTGGAGCGGGGAGGCAGGTTGGGCAGCTTCTCCACCGAGTGTTTCCTCAAATTCTCCATGGATATAGGTTTGAATGGCTCCCGGCCGACACACACCAGCACGCTGGGGCAGTGGAGCAGGGCCTGCATGCTGTCGATCTGCAAAGGAACAGCAAGTGGAGCACCGTGAGCCCAGACAGAAGAATTTGGTTCTTCCAGGCCTGGAATCTACTGACAATGAGTTGTGGCCTACATAAAAGAGTATTTGGATAATGGTCTCAGGCATGCAATGCTGTTTTTGGGGTTTTCCTGTTCAGGGCCAGGAGTTGGACTTGATGGCCCCTGTAGGTCCTTTCCAGCTCAGGATATTCTGTGATTCAATGAAAATAAACGTGGTTCTGGAGAACTTAGGGGTCTACCAGAGCCTGTTGGAGAATTCCTCCATAGAAAGTGAAGATCTGCTATTTTTTGATCAGATTTCCTAAGATAGGGAAGGGCTGGGAGAGATTGCCTAGTAGAGAATAGATTTCATTTATTATGTATGATACAAGATTTCACATATTCTGGAAAAAAATTGGTTATATTCCATACGGTAGTGAGGAAGAGGGTGGAACTGGAGGTGTTTCAGTTTGCCTCACAGAGAATTATAACTTTTAAAATTTTCTAGCTCCTGTATGGGGCAGCTTTTGTTACATGAAAAATGTTACAATTAGTTTTGTGCCTTAGTTGATCCTTTTCTTGCTGAGGAAGAGGGACACAGATTTTAACTTCCGCTAATATTCCCTCAAATACTGCTTCAGTTATAACCCCAAGTATTGCCTCAGTGCTGGACAGTGAGGGACATTGTCCCCAGCGTGGGAAGTTCCTGTGAAGGAAGCTTTGTTCCTCCACGAGAACTCAGGTTTGCACCCTTCATCCTCACCACATGACCTGTTCCTGGATCACACACCAACTCCTTCATGAGTCAGTTCTCGTGGAACTCTATAATCCTACAATAGTTTGAATTAGAAGGGAATTTTTAAATGCCATCCAGTCCAACCCCATACAATGAGCAGGGACATCTTCAGCTGGAGCAGGTGAAGCAGGTTTCTCGGATCCCTATCCAGCTTTTACCCAAATATATTTGTCTTGCTCAAAGAGTAGGAATCAGTCCTGTGGGAAGTACGAGCAGACAGATCCTGGACCCATCTTCCATCTTGTTCCTGCAACCTCTCATTTGAAAGACTGAAGTTGAGCTCTCAGGTAAAATACTTGATGTTTTTCAAAAGAAGAAGTCTCTCTTGCTGTCTTGAGAGGACTTTAGAGCGGCCAATTTCTGGCAGCTTTGTGTGTCTCCACCATGTGGGATGTCCCTTCCTCCTCAGCCTGCTACATCAGGAGAACATCTCTAGGGCATAGGGAAGACCTCAACAAGAGGAGACCCCACCATGGGTCACCAAGCCAGCACTGGTGCTGGGCTCAGCACGATGCAGCCTGACCTCACCCTGTCATTTAATCATCATTCCCCTAATGAGAACCAAAATAAGGAACCTCAGAGCAGCAGTGATGACAGTTCTGCAGCTGTCACATGTGCCTGAAATAACAGCTCGTGAAGGAAAGAGCTCAGCCTCTGAATATTGTTACAGCCAAGGAATGAGGAACCAGGATTCAGAGCCCAAGCCCTCAGCTTGTGAAATGCTCCTGAGGTTTTCCAGGATGTCCCACCAGGACTGTGGGAGGCAATAAGGGATCTGGTGCAAATGAGGGGATAAATGTGTGGAGGGTGAAAGAGCAGGACAGAGATAAATGGAAGCACATTCTATATCCAGTTAATCACTTCTGAAAACATTTGTTACAATAAAACACATGGCATCAACTTTTTAGTGGGAATACAGTAAAAATCCCTTTGTCTTCCCATTATTTTTTATTTTCTGTTTGTGTTATAACAACACCTGTGTTCTAGGCCTATCCAGCTTGCTATGAAACCCAAAAATAAGAGAGCTTTTCTCACTGAAACTTTCATTAAATTCTGCAAAGCAGCGAAAATGCCAAATTCCTGTGATGGGTACCATGAAACAGAAAAATAGCTCACAAATCTCAGCTTGCCTTTGTTCACTCCACTTTTGGTCCATCTATTTCTAAAGAAAACATCTTTATATAGTCCTAATGAAAACAACTTTCTAGCTCACTTTAAAAGTTTATAGAAAGTCTAGAATTTAATAAATCAAATATTTCAAGTGTGCTTTTGCCATCTGTATATTTAATTTCCTTCTTTGCTTTTCCTGTTCTTTTTAGTTTTATTGCCTTGGTGAGATCTTTTCCCCTGATTTTATACAAGTAGAAAAAAACAAAACAAACAAACATGAGGATAAAATAGAAGAGAAAAGGAAAAAGAGGGAGAGAAAAAAAAATAGACACAAAACATGTTCTGTCCCTAAAGTAAAAGAATCTGTCTTTCAAGCCCCACTAAGTTTAGGAACAGTTTCTATTTGTAAAGGACATTTTTTTCAGTGAAAGCTATTTTTTGCCCACATTTTCTCACGTGGTTCCATGTCTGGGTGTAGATATTTCAATCACACTCATCACTGTTGTGCTGTGTGCAGAAAATAGATGGTGCCAATGACAGGGAGTCAGGGATCCATGGAGCTGGGCCAGCTGAATTAGGGAATTTCTACTTCCATTTATATGGAATACACTTGTTTTATGTCACTTAAAATAGTCTGTATTTGTAGTATGAAGTATTTCTGACATCAACAGCACTTTAGCTGTGTTTGTGTCTATAATAAAAATTTTCTTCCTAATGCCTTCCTAGATTAATCTCTTTGAATTAATAATTCCAGAGGTCCATCTTTGTAGTGCTTCATTGCTATATTCATTGTTCATTGGTAGTTTTAAATACAACTGAATGTATTCTGAGTGTTAAATAAATCCCATTCTGCTGCAGGACTTCCACTGCCCCACCCATGCCAGGGACACTTCCCACTATCCCAGGTTGATCCAAGCCCCATCCAACCTGGCCTTGGACACTTCCAGGGATCCAGGAGCAGCCACAGCTTCTCTGGGCACCCTGTGCCAGGGCCTCCCCACCCTCACAGCCAGGAATTCCTTCCCAATATCCCATCCATCCCTGCCCTCTGGCAGTGGAAAGCCATTCCCTGTGTCCTGTCCCTCCATCCCTTGCTTTTTTGCTATTGTGCAAGAGAAGTGATCCTGTTCTTCTTGGACACAACAACCACCAAGTTTTTATGACTTGAGCAACTGCCACGCAATTTCTGCCAGAGATTTTCATGCTGGGAGAAGGAACTGGACATCAGACAGAAACTTTGAGAGAGAGAAGATTATTATATGTGGCAGTAGGACCATGGTGAAAAGCAGACACCGTACTATTCCTGTTTCAGAACCATGTGAGCCTCAGAGAAACAAGGGAAATATTAGATGGGATTAAATTCTGAGAAAATAATCTGATGTTGAATTGCTGTTCAGATTAGGTAAGAGGTGGAAATGATCCTGCAGAAAACAGTGTGAACTCCAACATATGGAGGAAAAGGAAGGTTTGGTGATATGATCTCCAGAAATATTTTCCAAACTCAGTGATAATGTGATTAGGTGTTCTATTGTAGAAGTGGATGTTATTCTCATGGAGACATCAGTTAAGAAAAAGTGGAGTGGAACTGAAAGACAAGAAGGTGAATGTTCTTATCTGTTTTAGCTCTCACAGACAGTGGAGAAAATTGAAAGCCACTGAAGGGGGATGTGATAAATCTGAAAGTAGATCTTCATGATTGTGGAGATCTTGTCCAACCTTAATAATTTCTGTGATATTAAAGCAATAGTAAAACCTTAGATTCTTCTGGTAAACTGATTCCCCACTTCCCTCAGGCTGCCACAGCAAGATTCCTGAGCAGCCATGCTAGGATATTCAGAGAAAACAGTATTTAATCCCACCACAATTTAGCTTAAAATAAACCCAAAGGCAATGGATTGTAAATCCTTAAAATCTGGCAATCACCTGAAAGAGATGGAGAAGAGAATGCCCTGCTCTAATATTTCTCCATTAATTCATCCCACAGGATTGTAACTCATCATCTACAATCAAGGCTTCTTGGTGGAGAGCAGCCAATACTTTTGGGAGACAGGTAATTTAAACCTGATCCAGGTCAATATCCCCCCTTGGACATGCCTGACTCTCACTGAAGACAGAGTAAATCATCTCAAAGCAGCTGTCTAAATGTAGATTCCTGGAACAATTTGAGATGTTCTAGAGTATCCAACATGTGCCTGAGGATGGCTGACAGGATGAAAGATAAATACGAGACCGGAAAGCTCGGCAGGAAACATCAACCACCTTCATAAAGTTAGAAAATGAGATATCTTCATTTGCAAGCTGAGTCTCAAAACATGGGAACTTCAAGAACATTTTAATCCATAAGTGAACAGTTAGGAATAAAATGGAAGAGAAATAATGGCTCATGATAAAGGTGTTGGGTTAGCAAAGAGTTTATTTGGAAATCAGGATCCATTTAAGCCTTTTTGGAGTTCCCTTGATGTAACTCAGTCAGAGTTAAGTCTGTGTATTATCAGAGACAAAAATCCACCAAAATTCATGGGATCAGTCTCTAGATGTTGGCATTTAGTGGGCTGGAATAGACTCCCATTGAAGTTTATGAAGTAAAATTAAATTGAGTTTCTCAATCTTACTGTAAAACCTGATCCAAGTCCCACTGTAATAGATGGAGAGAAAATGGGTGATCTCCACAGACTCTGGATCAGGATCCAAGAGGATTATGGATTCTGTGAATGAAGTTCTGGACAACAGCCCAGGTTGGATGAGTCTTGGAGCAGCTTGGTCAGGTGGAAGGTGGCAGGGGGTGGAACAAGATAATCTTTAAGGTCCTTTGCAACTCAAACCATTCTGTGATTTATGATTCATTATTCCCCACCCGAGGAACTCCCTTCCCCAGTGGGATATGGCATTTATGGATTGGTCAAAAAAACTCGCTGTTCTTTCCAATAAAAATGATTTACAGACATTAAACTTCCACTGGAAAGGTCACTACAAGTGAGGTGTAAATGAAAACACATCCTCTTTTCTGAAACACCCTTTTTTTTCCAGTCTAGCTGCTATCTGTCGAGGATGGATCGTCTCCATGAATTTTGCTGCTCAGGACCCACCAGCTGCT